TAAAAAGCATCCACAGAACAAAACTATGTGTCTTTATAATTCTACATTTCCCATAATGACCTGCATATATATTTTCCTCAGCTTGCTAACCAATAGATATCGCTTGAGTGAGTAAATGAACCAGTGGCTATAAACAATTATGCTTAAAGAATACAACTGTCTCAGCTGCCATAACTCCCATCCCTGGGACACAGCATCTGACATTCACAACATAAAAGAGAAGGGGGTTCGTTTGGCTCCCATTTCAGAAGATTCCATTCATGGTTGGCTGTCTCCAAGGCACAAACATCATGGCAGAAGGGCATGGAGGAGCAAAGAGGCTTGGCTCATGGTGACAGGAAGCAGAGCAGGGGACTGATGCCAGAGAGGAAGACGCAATATGGGCAGATCTAAACCCTGAGGTCACACTTCCATGACCCACCCAGACACACCCAGAAATGTGCTTTACTAATCAATCCCCTAAGTGGCTCCTGTGCCAAGCAGGTTGACACAATTAAGCTTAATCAATACAACAGCTTACTATGGAAGTATTTTGCATTTGCAATATTCTGATGTTATCATGGTATATCATTAAAATGGGATAAAAACAATCCAGAGAACAGTATGAATAGAAATGTTTTATTTTTGCTAAGGGACAACAAATTCCTCCCTAACATATAGGGTTGGAATATTTGTGGATTCCTAAAAAGTCACTCAGAAGAGCATGGTCCTGTGGTTAATATTAATTTTCTCTGTAAAGTGGAATTCAGAAGTTGAGATAATGAATTCTCCTCCCAGATTTTCCTTTTGAACTTGTTTGCTTTATACAGGCATGTGTGCAAACACATCTACATTATTTGGCTTTTAATTTAAAACATTTGACAAAGTATGTTAATTATTGTGCAGTGAAAATGAAAGAAAAGTGACAAAGGGGAAAGTCTGGCCATCTTTCAGGTATGTGGCTTTATGGTGAAGAACAAGAAGCCCAAAATTTACCACATGGAAGGATGAGAGTTATAAGATATGACAAGCAAAAAATAAGATTACTTCAGAAGGAAATAGTTTTCTGAACCTACGTGTGAAATAATTCTTAGAACTTGTGTGTTGGTTGACTTAAAACTCACTGTCACACAAAATGAAGTGAAAAGCTCAGGACACTGGCCAGAAAGAGAAGGTTATCTTAACAAAAAAACACTCTCCCTTATGTTAAGGTATTGTGAAAGCAAGACTCCTATTCAAAGGACAACTCCATCATGTTTTTCTCATAAGAATGATGTGTTAGTCAACTTTCTTTCAATATAGCACATATCTGAGATAATTAACTTACAAATAGAAAAGGTTTCTCCTGGCTCAGGATTTTGGAGGTGTTAGTCCATGATCAATTGACATCCTTACCTTTGGGTCTGTGATGAGGCGGCTTAACATGGCGGACAGTGAGTGACACAGCAAAACCATTCATCCCATAGCCAGGAAGTAACAGAGACAAAGGAAAGGCCCCAGGTCCCATTGTTTCCTCCAAGGGTGCAGTCCCAGTAACCTAAACACTGCTACTTCTTCAGAGTTCTGCCACCTACCAAGAGCACCAAGCTGAGGACCAAGCCTGTGATGCATAGGCCTCTAAGGAATGTTCCAGATCCGAAACAGCCAGTTGATCCTCCAAAACACACTGCCAGCAGAGGAAAGCATCCATCTCTATGTACTGCACTGACACCACTAATGTTAACCACACACACAGAATGAGTGGGATTAGCAGTACCTTTACCGTTATTAGTAAGACAGTTCAATTCTTTTCTTCCTTCCTTCTCTCCTTCTTTCCTTCATTTCTTCCTTCCTTGCTTGCTTGCACTATGTAGCAAGCATGCTGTGCTTTACAGATTTTTTTAATTGTGCCTTCCAACAACCCTATAATTCTTCCACTTTCCGTATGAGTAAACTATGTATGATAAGCTATGCAAGCAGAGAAGTCAGGATTTGAACTCAGGAATCTATTAACTGATGCCAAATCCCTTACTCTTTACCCATTTTCAACCGTCTGTCACATAATCATACCATTAAAAAAACATAAGGTCATTAGCCTGAGGTTGCCTCCCTACTTTGAGTTCATAAATGACAAACTACAAAGAGACCAAGGCTAACTTAGGAGTATAACAAAGAGCCAAGTTGCAGCCAATCACGGGCAGCCAATTCATTGCCCTAGACCTCTCTGTAGCCAGTCAGATGTTAGCTCTGCTTACCCTTATGTTGGGTCATAAATGTCCATTGCTCACACTACCAGTGAGAGCTCTCCACACCTCTTCTGGTTCTCAGTGCTGCCTACTTGACGTTGTTCTTGGCTCAAATAAATTTTGTTAAATTTAATTTGTCTGAAGTGTTTCTTTTAGCATACCTCTTATTGCTACACATCCTGCGAGGATGACATTATTCCCTGTTTCAATTTCTCATCCCATTATCGTGTGAAAGTTTATCCTGATCACCTGTATTTATGCAACATTCCACAAGAATCACTATCACGCTCTATCTCAAGTCAAACTTTCCATGCACTCAGCTTACTGTTTTTATTGAAAAATATAAAGTATATTTTGCTGTAAGTCATATGTTCTCAAATATTTCTATATTTACTTTAGTAACTTGCTGTAGCTCCTCTACTCCTTAATCCAACTATTTACTTCTTATTTTATTGTTTTGGATAGTGCATGTCTTCAGCTTTACTCAGAAGGGGGGGCGCATAGAGAGGAGGGAGGAGAGAGAGAGACTATAAGCTATTGCACAAAACAGTATAGATTCTTTGTCTCTTTTCCACCAATTTTGAAGACAATAGATTTGATAAATGACAGACATTTTGTAACTCATTTGACATCAAAACCTGAGCAGCCTTAAGCATCGTTTGGCAACAAAACTGCCCTAAACTGATTTGAGGTTATTTTCAGTCTGAACTGGTCACAATCATTATGAACATCCACACATTTCACTACAACAATGTCAGTTTGTCTCATTACGGGGAGTTGCCCAGCCCCTGCTGGTGTCTTACGCAGAAGTTGGTATGTTTACCTCATCAACACTTCAAGATCTAGATGTCCTAATTTACAAAATACTTCTGGACCTCAAGGATTTTTCAGGTAAGTGATTCCTTTTTTTTTTATTCCCTCTCTTTTTTAGAGTTAATGTTTGTTTTCCGAAGTCTCATATTTTGATTTGGGGAATGTCCATGTCTATTCTATGCAATGCTTTTGACTTTATAAAATTCAAGTGTTATACCAAAAGGATACCCCCTTTTAAAACTGAATTCTCATGTAGAAGTCATTACATGATGTCACCTCACCCACTGTCATTCTCTCCAAAGGACTCACCTTTCTTAAAGCTCAGGCAGTTTCTTTTCAGGCCATTGGTTATTCGCCTTTTTATTTTTTGGAATATGTATTTCATAATGTCACATGAGGTTCAGCTAGCTAGGATGTGATCAAATTGAGGTGATTCACCCGAACCTTGAACTTCCGCCTGACCTAGGTTTCTCTCAGTCTGAACTTTCTGGGTAGATTTATACCAACTCACAGAGCGCGATTCCCTGTTCACCTGTCGAGTGGTTTTCTGGTTTCATCTCAGAACCTTAGGTACTTGCTAAACCACAGCTTCTGAACATCCATTCGATCTGGCAGTTCAGACATTTGAAAACAGCCACAGAATTTTAGTAATTGAAATTTTCCATGATAAGTGAATGAGTCAGTAAGCCTAGTTTTGGAGCTGAGGAAAGATTCCCAATGGGGTGCGGGGGGGAATCCCCTGATTTAAGGCACCTCCTTGCTTTTCTGTGTAAAGCTGTCACTATGGCAGTAGACACACTCAGCTTCAAATAGACAAAGGGTCTATTTCCCTCAGGACTGGGTGTCTTCATGGAATTACTAAGTCTCATATGATCATTGTTTCTGAGATAAATAACTAGGCTTACATAGTCTAGGATTGAAAACATGGTCTATGGCTTAGGTTTTTAAAGTTTTAGCAGAGAGGAGAAAAAAGAAGAAAAATTCCTTAGTGTTGCACACATGCAGTTACATCTGCCTGTACTTCTAAGAGCCCTTCACTCAAGTTGAAATAATTTTGATTTGCCCACATTTTAAAAGCATTTACTAATCCTCATAACATCCATGGGGCATAAATGAGTGCAATTCTGAGCACTGTACACAAAACTGATTAAAGCAAACATGTCAAGAGAATTTCCACTGCTAAGTTTTAATTCAGAAATAAACCAGTGCAAGACCTCAGCCTCTGAGCTCTGGGTAACTGCCATGTGATGTGGCTGCTTTTCTCTGTGGACCAGGCAATTCCAGGGGATTCTGCCTCCCTCTTTCCCTCCATGAAATGCTCCTTGGGCACGCAAGGGGCTTGAGAAGCCAGGAGCACATTGGGAGGTCACTGGCTCTCTCAGAGATGGGCAGGGGTACAGGTCCATGGGGCTCCTAGCGGGTCACTCCCGGCCCGAGGCTGCACCCTCAGCTCGCAGAGCAGCCCTCCTGCAACCTACCCAGGCTGACCTCTCGCCTCTCCGCCTGCAGAGCTCCTCTCACAGCCAGGCCCCCACGCAGACCTCCTCCAGCGGCCAACAGCAATTGGTGTCCTGCCAGACTTGATGCGCACAGGGCTATTACGAAATGGGAACCGAAAGCCAGGGCCTCCCATCTCCACGAGGTGGCAGGGCTATTTCAGAAAGCTCAAGGGCCCGATTAGCCCATTAGTGCGGGGTCGCATGGGGAAATTGGGGACCGCGAAGTGAAAACCTAAAGAAAATCTTCATTTTATACCGCAACTAGGGAGCTCTGAAAACAGAAAACATGCTACAAACCTCTCCGATTCGTGTCTCTCTGTTTAACTACCTATACACCCTGTTTAAGTGCTAAGCACTTATTTTGTTAAGTGGGAACTTTATGCAAGTTATTTTACCCCACGAAATACATTTATTTATTATTATGACCTGTTCTTCAGCATTTATAGGAACACAGGAAATGCATTGGTGCTTATTATCTACTTACCCAGGAGACGTTCTGGCCAGCCCTGTCCTCAGGAAGCCTCCATTCTGGGAAACAGATGATCTGAGAGGCAACACCTCGGCAAACGAGTCCCTTGGGTGACTTGCTGGAGAGGAATAAGGATATGTTGGTCTACATTACTTATTCAAGATCAAGTATCAACATGAAATCCTATAATAAGCTTTGGCATAAAACCAACTGTGAATTATGGAGAATAAATGTTCTTGGCATTGTTCTGGGGATTTTTTTTTTTTTGGAAGAGAATGACAATAAAAGAAGATTCTGCAGCAGTTTCTATAACAATGCTAAAATCACTGGTTGAAATATTAAAAACATTTTAAAATTGGTATCCTAAAATGATAAATCCTCACTTCTCCAGATTCTTTGGATGGAATTTAGCCAAAGCTATCTGTTAAGTAATTAGTCATTTTAGTCAGTGAGGATGCCAGTTGCTCATTTATGCACTGGTTCTGTAGGGACTGCAGGCAGGGCTTGCATTTTGTCTGACTAAGAGGGAAAGGGGATAATATTTGCTGGAAATGATCAGTCCTTGACACCCAGTTCCTCTCACTTCCGGGCGACCCACACTCCCAGTGTCTGAGAAGCTGTCAGAGCCTCTGCCTGACCACCCTCACCATCAGGAGATCCAGCTCATTTTTTGCCAGCTGCTCAGAAATCACCAATGCGCACTCTAGGCTCCACTGCGTACAGACTGCTTTGTCCCAAACCAGGCTACCAAGGACCAACTCCCTAATCTGGGAATTCAAATCCACTAAGTAAACAGTCTGGCTCAGCTTTTAATGCTCCTGCGGTACAGGTTAAGTGCTTTGGTTGATATAGTTGTCAAGAAGTCATAGACTGAGAAATGGATACGACGGCCCCCAGCTCTGCACCTCCAGGTGGAGATTCACAGGGCCAAAGGCTCAGCATCCAGTCGAGGTTCTGCAGTCTTCCGGCTCCTAAATGAGACCGAGGAAGATAAATAGACTTGGAGAAGTGCCTGGACGGTACTCTCGAATAACCACATTAACCCCTTTTAATTATTTATAACAAATAGATATAACTCTAAATGAATCTCAAGCTAGCAAGGGAAATATCTCAAGTTTGCTGGAAAGGGCTCAAGCTGTGGGGTTCCAGGGGGGAAGATGGACAGAGACAGAACCATCAGAGGCCAGCGAGCAGGCCAGGCCAGTATGGGAACAAACAGATGCTTGGGGACACTAAAGACCCGGACCCCTCCATGGCAACTCTGAGCTCAACAGTCAAACTGATCCACATGAGTGGCTCCTGCCAAAGGAGGATCCCAGTGCCAAAAGATGACTTTTGCCTATTGTCGTTATTGATTTATCTCAATATCGTTTCTTTCTGACTCATTACTACGAATATTTGCAAGTTTCCCTTCCTTCCAGCTTTCGTCTAAAACCTATTGTTCTCTAAATAATTATTCTAACTACTTCAAAATATTATTCCAAGTCAGAAGTTTTTATTCTAGCAAAACTTCAAGATGTTCTAACCTAGCACAATAAATAGGACCAGAGGCACACGTGTGGGTATCTAGAACGGTGGCCTGTGGTTGACGCAGTCCGATCACTGCTGATTCTGCAGGCTTCCTCGTTGTATGGTCCAGAAGGCACAGAGGCTTAATCAAAAGCACCTGCTAGGATCAGGCTTTGTGTATGGCTTTCTGATTTTCCCTGGACTCCATCTTGCATTTATCAGCTTTTGTCACACTCAGTCCCTCAGGTAGAAAAATGGCTGCCTTCGCTTCCTGTTTGTTGAAGAAAAAGCAAGGTCAACTCTTTGCCGATCAAGCCTTTGCTTCCCTCTAAATGGATAGGTGTGAAACATTCACGGAGGTCAGTGGACAGCAAAGCCAGACCCAGTTTAATTCTACCACCTGCACAACAATTTGCGGTAGGTCTGTTATCGCTCGCAGACATTTCTGCTCCTCCCATGGGAGGATCACTCCTTTCCACCTCTAACATCGAGTCTTACTCTGACCGTCAAAATGAGAAATACTGCTGTTCAGCACCAAGCTGTGATATGGCTGTGAAACAGTGCAATCGATGTCACCCATCAATTTTGCTCCTTCACTAAGACAGAAGTATTCAGAGCTCACATGTGGCTGCCGTGTTCCTTCCCCCTCTGCTACGACTCCAAATGGAGCCCTGTTTCAGCCTGGATTCAAGAATGAGGCTGAAAGGGAGAAGAGACACAACCTGCTCACAACTCACAGCGGGAGCTGCGCCATGGTTATTAGTGCCTGGGACCAGGGCCTGCTTGTTACTGGGTCATAACCTCACCTATTCCGACTGCTCTGTAGTCCCTGCTTTGTCATTTCTTAGGTATGTGGCCATGGCAGTTACCTCATATCTCTGAACTTTAGTTTCGTTATTCTTAAAAATCAAGATAATGCCTGAAATTTCCAGTACACCCCGACAGTCCACGATTATATTCTTTGTAAATACTGTGAATTATAGTTCTCATTCCCATGGGAGACCTTTTCTAAGGCACCTTAGTGATCTTTAGGGGAGGAAATGCTGCGCTCTGAAAGAAGAAGTGCGATCTGTTTCTCTTTCTTGGGCAAAGTTATAGTCACAGTGTTTCAGCGTATACACTGATCAGATGATAACATAAGAAATTCTTTCTGAATATATGTAGTTTAGTTCCTTGGAATGCTCCTTTGTTTTTCTAAGAAAAAAGATCAACCTAAGTTTTATATGGGAAAAATGCATTTTCATGCTCAATACCAAATGTGCTATTGTTATTCAATAGTATAGTTGGCCTCACTGAAGTAATTTTCTTCCTTCTCTGAGTTATCTGTTATTGAAGATAGCCAAGCAACAGATATTGAAGCAGATTATTTTTCTATTCCATTGTGAAAATCTGTGATTCCCTGTGCCCTTTACTACAAAATGATGTATTCTTTAGTGTGAGAGAGACAGAGAGATTATAGTGAGAGGAACAAAATCTAAAAGTACAAATCCTACTTTCTTTTAAAACCGAGATTGTGATTATTTGCAGACTTGAATCTAACTTAATTTGATTTTTAAAGCAATGATTATTTTACACTGTAGAACACATTTCCTATTGTAGACATCTATCAGTGACAGCTGGTATCTCATCCGCTGTGTCAGACATTGCAGGATTTTTAATTAATTTTATTGGTAGTCTTTTGATCATACATAATGATCCCATTCATCGGAGGGAATTTCTACCTGTACATAATATATCTTGGTTCTGTGTTTGTTCCCCATTCCCCTCCTATACCCTCAACCCTTCTTCCTTCCCTTAGTTACAAAAGCTTTCTTTCCATTTTTTCTTCTATTCTTTGTTTCTTCTCCTTTCCTTCCCTTCCCTCTCCCCTCTTTCTTGTTCCTCTTCCCATTTGAACATTTTCGTGCTGCATCACAACACCTATCATCCATTCTGGTCCGTACTTATGCTTTCAGTTTTATCTTGTTTGGTACTCAGGTCTCCAATAAGTAAAATATAAGGCAGTTGTTTGCCTCATTCGATGAAAAGGTGTTCTTGACAAATTTGTGTAAAATAAACAATGGTTTAAAGACATAAAGCACTAGTCCTTGTAATGCTCTATAACAGAACTATCTGGAATTTATGCACACACACACACACACACACACACACACACACACACACCCACCTTACACACACACACACACACACACACACACACACACACACACACCCCTTCTGCGCCCTATCCCAGGACTTGTGAATTATAATCTCTGAAAATGGGGCTCACAATTTTTATATAAAAAGCTCTTCATCATACTCTCATCTTGGTGGTGTTTTTTGTTTTTTTTGTTTTTTGTTTGTGTACCAGGAATTGAACTCAGGACCTCAAGCTTGCCAGGCAGGTACTGTGCTGCTGACCTAAATCCCTGGCCCAAATTTTGGTTTTAAATACTATGCCCACTAAAAGAAATAAAACTTATTGGTAAAATGGCTGATTGCAGAACTGTGGTGGAGAAAATATAAACTGAGACTACGTTGTCATAACAGAAAGGAAAAATGTGCTTGAAGGATGATAGGGATTATGTCAAATGACTCATGAGGGTTCCCTTGTTGACTGAATGTGGGAAAATTTGAATATAAAAACAATAATAGATTATACTCCGTTAAATAAAATGAGAATCGGTATATGGCTAGGTAAGGAAGGGAAAGACAGAGGGAAAGAAACAGCAGTTTGGCCCCTACTATAGAGGGAATGATGGAATTAGAAAACCACAAATTGGGCAAAACTCACCAATAGATGCTAAGATGAATGGGTGAGAGTCTTTTACATAGTGTCTGAGTATCTCCTCTTAACAACAAAGGAAAATAACTTCACAGTGAAAAACCCTAGCAAACACCACCTATAGTGGGTTGAATGGTGGCCCCAAATAATACACACAGGTCTCAGCCCCAGGGTCTGCGGTTGTGGCCACATTCACAAAAGGATCTCTGCAGATACAATTAAGCTAAGAATCTTGTGGCAAGATCATCTTGAATTTCTCAGGTGCATCCTAAACCTAACAGCAAATTCCTTTGGAAGCGACAGAAAGGAAGATGTGGACCGAGAGATGCGTGTAGCTGTGTTAAGATGAAGGCAGGGCTTGGAGGAACAGAGCCACAGGATGCTGACAGCCACCGGGAGCTGGAAGGCACAAAGGATTCGCTCCTACACACTCCTTCTGGAGTTAAGGCTTTGGCCATCCCTTGATTTTGAACTTCTGACCTCCCTACTGAGGAAAAAACAACCCCATTGTTTTAAGCCACCCCTCTCCTGGTAACTTGTTATGACAGCCTTAGGAAACTAAGACACCACCTAGACCAAAGGGCAGTGTTAACATTACTCAAAGAGGAATTAAACATTATCTGCGGGCTCCTGAGATGTGCTGACGTGTTCACTACATTGCCTTGTTCCCTCGTGTCCGTGATAAAATTGTGTAACACCACTCTCATCGTGAGGAAATATCAGACGAACCTAAACAGCCATTGTACAGGATATCCGGCCTGCATGCCTAAAAAACATGGAGGTGATCAAAAATAACAAAAGGCCGAGGAACTGTTCTAAAGATGATAAAGAAGGTGTGACAACAA